AGTCATAAATTACGAGAATAAAGTCGCAAAATTACGAGAATAAAGTCGCAACGAGAATAGTCATAAATTACGAGAATAAAGTCGTAAAATTACGATAATAAAGTTGCAACGAGAATGTCATAAAATTATGACAATAAAGTCGTAAAATTACTAGAATAAAGTTGCAAAGAGAATAGTCATAAAATTACGAGAATAAAGTCGTAAAATTACGAGAATAAAGTCGCAACGAGAATAGTCATAAAATTACGAGAATAAAGTTGTAAAATTACGAGAATAAAGTCACAACGAGAATAGTCATAAAATTACGAGAATAAAGTCGCATCGACAATAGTCATAAAATTACGAGAATAAAGTCGTAAAATTACGAGAATAAAGTCGCATCGACAATAGTCGTAAAATTCTGAGAATAAAGTCGTAAAATTCTGAGAATAAAGTCGCATCGAGAATAGTCATAAAATTATGAGAATAAAGTCGCATCGAGAATAGTCATAAAATTACGAGAATAAAGTCGCAACTAGAATAGTCATAAATTTATGAGAATAAAGTCGTAACATTACAAGAATACAGTTGTATTTCATGACAACATTGGACACGCTAACGCTACAGATGCTCCTGACTCAGCACACCGACGCTTCGTGATGTTATTATCGTTGCCTGGGCAACCACTATGTTTTACATCATGTGGCAACGTTCAGCCAATCATGTAGCGTAACGTCACTGGCAGGAAGCAGGACCCGAGTAGATCTGGTAGCTACAGCGGCTGGGAGAACTTTTTCCACCTTTAAACCGATTTATCCGTCAGATCGGCGCAATCCAGACCCAAATGTAATGGAAAATCAGAAAATCTAAACTATTAATAAATTAAAAATGTCTTAAAAGGAGTGTATTCACCTTTAATTGGAGCAGGTTACTAAGTTGACGGAATGAGTAGCTTTGCCCTTATAATTGTGCAGTTAAAAATAAGCTAATAGAGATACTTCTTGTTGTTTTAAACAATAATCCTCTTATTCTGTTGGTACTTTCTGCTCAAATCAAATAAAAACTACAATTTCTTTAAGAACAATAAACCTATATTTGCATTTTTTCTCTGTTCTCGAAACATTTCCTTGCAGTTTTCTCTCTCCAGATGCGCAACAAACGACGCCGCTGATTGACTGAAGTCAAATGCAAAAAACCTTTTCTTTTTTTTTTTACACTTTTTAGTAAAAACACTTTTTAAAATCTGCACAACTGTCAGTCTGCAGCTGGTTCTTCCTGAGCACACTGTGAAGTAAACAGCTTTAACTGTGGCTCATTTGTTCCAGAAATCGAGATTTGAGCTTCAACTTTCCAACCAGAGCTCCTGTTCTGCTGCAGACGGGGAGGATTTGACTGACTGCTTCTGATGGATTCATGCCCTGATGGCCTGTTGCGGCTAAACCGACTTTCCCTGCATTTACATCCCTGCTCAGTTCCACTCACTGAGAGTGAACGCTCACCTCTGCACCCCCCATCTCAGTGTGGTATCTGAATGAAAACCGCATTGTGCTATCTTATCCTCTCACACGTTCCTTTGGCTCTGAAGCCCTAACCGCACTTTAACACCCCTTTCTCTTTGTTTTAAGCTCCCTCCACACTTCTTCCCTTCAACTACACAATCAGGTCTCACTCTCTCTCCTCGTGTCCATCTGCATGCACCCCCCTCCCTCTCACACAAACACTCTGGGAGTGGCGGGTCGAACCTCATCAGGCTTCCAGGCCGGTACCACCTGCAGCTACCAGATAGGGACAGAGTGTGAACACAATGAATGATTTACTGGACGCTACCGACTGCAGGACACTTCTTCTTTCACACCCAAACGCGTCGTTTTTCATGCCTTTTTCTTAACTATAACCCTTGCATCCTGCAACTTTCAGGGGTTTTGTTGAACAGCAATCAAGTGGGTTACTTTAAAGGAAAAGTCGCTCATATTCAGAATTCAAACTTCTGAAAGTTGTTTAAATCTGAAATGATTCCATCCTGTT